GTATGTCAAATCTCAAAATTCAAAAGTAATTATTAACAGGAATGTATCTGAATATAAATATAAGATCAGAGGCGGATCCACGGGGGAGATGGGGGGAGGGGTTGTGTGTTAAAACAGAAAAATACTTGGAGTTATAAAACCTTTGGTTATGTAAGAGTTAAAAAAATAGTACCTCGCGAATTTTCTGCTTTCTGAAATTAAAAAATTATACAACAGGCATGCAAATCTTTAAGCGCTGTTATAAAATTTTTTCTGAAATTTATTGTGTCTTGCTTGCTTGATCTTAAATTTAATCATGGTAAATAAAATCTTAAGAAGTGAGTTGTTTGACATTTGGTGTTGCTGAAACTTCTAAAAGACAACAAGGTGTCCGTGATTATGTGATTAGTAAATTGAAAGAAATATCTGATGAAAATGCTCGTTCCGAAGTAAATAAAGTAAATTAAGTAAATGACTTTAGATTCGTAATCAGCAACCCAGAAAATCCCCAGATACCCAAATACATAGAAATCTACCGATTTTTTTAAATTTTCGCCCGCCATATTGGATCCGCCATTTTGAATTTTTGGTAAATGCCTTTAGATATGTAATCAGCGACCCAGAAAACCCCCAGATACCCAGTTTCATAGAAATCTACCGATTTTTTTTAATTTTCGTCCGCCATATTGGATCCGCCATTTTGAATTTTTGATAAGTGACTTCAGATTCGTAATCAGCGACTCAAAAATCCCCTAGGTAAGAAGTGGTGTAAAGATCCATCAACGAGTATTTGTTTAAATAGTTTCGTCCAGCTAGATTTGCGATCCAAACCACTGTGCAGCGTTAAGCAAGCTGAAAACACATTTTTGCGAATTTCTCGGAAACCAATGGAGCTACTAAATTGGTTTTAGGGGAGTTGAAGAACACCTAAAATACACCTAATTCTAGCATATATTTGGAAAATTTAAAACCTAAATTTAACGATGGGTCAGCTAGGTTTACGTAAACCTAGCACACATTTTTGCGAAGTTTTCGGAAACCAATGGAGCTATTCAATTAGTTTTAGTGGCGTTGAAGAACACCTAAAAGACACCTAATTCCTGCAGATATGTATTTCGAAAATTAAAAAAAAAAATTAAGATTGTTCAGCTATGTTATCAGCGCTAAGATAGCTGAAAACACACATTTTTGCGAATTTCTCGGAAACCAATGGAGCTAATAAATTGGTTTTAGTGGCGTTGAAGAACACCTAAAAGACACCTAATTCCAGCATATATTTGGAGAATTTAAAACCTAAATTTAACGATGGGTCAGCTAGGTTTACGTAAACATTTTTGCGAATATCTCAGCAACCAATGGAGCTACTAAATTAGTTTTAGTGCGGTTGAAGAACACCTAAAAGACACCTAATTCCTGCATATATGTATTTCGAAAAAAAAAAAAAATTAAGATTGTTCAGCTAGGTTTACGTAACCCACACATTTTTGCGAATTTCTCGGAAACCAATGGAGCTACTAAATTAGTTTTAGTGGCGTCGAAGAACACCTAAAAGACACCTTATTCCTGCAGATATGTATTTCGAAAATTAAAAAAAAAAATTAAGATTGTTCAGCTAGGTTAACAGCGCTAAGTTAGCTGAAAAACACATTTTTGCGAATATCTCAGCAACCAATGGAGCTACTAAATTAGTTTTAGTGCGGTTGAAGAACACCTAAAAGACACCTAATTCCTGCATATATGTATTTCGAAAAAAAAAAAAAAATTAAGATTGTTCAGCTAGGTTTACGTAACCCACACATTTTTGTGAATTTATCGGAAACCAAAGGAACACCTAAATTAATTTTGGAGGCCCTAATTAACACCTAAAAGACACCTAATTCCTAGCTAATTTTTATTGATTTTTGGCGACTTGGGTCAGCTAGGTTTATGGACGTCTAAATTAGCCTTAGGACAATCTTGACCATCTTATATGTTGAAATTTTAAGCCCGTTTCTTTAGTTTTAAAAGGACGTTAAGATAAAGTCCCTACGATGAGCAGAACCCGGGATATAACACTTTGAACATGACTAGTCAGAATCACGAAAAAATGCAAACTTTCACAGATCATATCTTCGAAGAAAAAAAAATCCTCGAAACGTGTTAGGTTATTTCATGTATAGAACCCATACAAAAAATTCAAGCCAATCGAAAATGTGACACCAAATTTGATGTCCGATATGAAAAGGAATGTCTCATTTTCTGTTTTCAATTGAATATACATACATAAGTATGTACTTATCCAGACGTTCTACATTAGTTTCTCTGTATTCGTTTTATCCATGCGTTCTCCCTTCGTTTGAAGATAATGCTGCGGGTAAGAGCTTACGGCCAATGACATGCCCATGTTAAAATAATGCTAATGAAGCGAAAGGGTGAGCGATTCCCATCGCCTAATTCGATTCCATTTTAATATCTATAGTAATCATGTTTTTGCAGGGTATGATTATGCGCCATAGCTATATCGATAGTAGTAAATTTAACTATAAAATAGACGTGTTTTATTTGACCAGAAATTTAAGCTTTTAGCTTATTTTATGGAAGACTTAGCCAACATAATTATAATGCGATAATTAATTATTTTGCATTACGCCTCATCCCCGCAGAGATAACTCTGTAGAGAAAACACGAACTAGTGAACCAGATTTCTAGTTCAGTACTAGTTCTTTTTTGCCAAAAACGAGCCAGTCCGATAGTAACTAGTTCCGCACCAGTCCAAAAGCAGTGAAATGTGGTACTTTTACTAAACTATTCTATTTTAAATTTTAAAAGCAGGGAAGGTAATCATTATGAGTAAAATAATTTAAATCAGCATGTAATCATTATTTTATGAATTATTATTGAGTTTTATTTTTTCGCTCAAACGGAAATAACACTATGCGACAGTCAAAATCGGGATGGGATGAAACCAACGGGAAATGTTATATCGGTCAAAAACAAGTTATACGTGGCCCGGTGTTTCGCTGGGTCACGTCTAGGAATCGAGATATATCGATTTGAAGTTAGTAACTATCATATAGGGGAAATTGTCACCTTTGGTGGTCTTTTTTTTGACATAACTCGAGAACCACTAGTCCGACTATGTGACTTTGCGTGAAAGTAATACGACTTGCATTTTTTTCCGTTTTGGATTTTTTATGAATTTAAAAAATAAAAAAATTTAATATTTTAGGCAAAAAATATTTTTTTTCTTCATACATTTATTTTTACCGGCAAAACTGTTGATTATATAGAAAAACGTTATATGAACAGATTAAAGGAATTGTAATTTTTAATTTTTTTTTTAAGTTGTTTGAGCAAAATCGGACTAGTGGTTCTCGAGTTATGTCAAAAAAAAGACCACCAAAGGTGACAATTTCCCCTATATGATAGTTACTAACTTTAAATCGATATATCTCGATTCCTAGACGTGACCCAGCGAAACGCCGGGACACGTATAACTTCTTTTTTACCGATATAACTTTCCCCGGTAGTTTGAAACCTTCCCGATCACTGACCCCTACCATTTGTCTCACAGTGTAATTATTATTTGATTTTTATTTTTGGGATTACAAATAATGATTATTTTATGATTTTTATTTTTTCACGCAGAGATTATCATTAATTTTCAGTTTTATTTTTCCACTTAAAAATAATGATAATTTATAAAATTTAAAAGGCAATAAAGACGCAACCTACTGAAATTTTTACCTGAAAAGTTTGGGTCTTATTCCTTTTATAAGGGTGCGGCTACTCTCAAAAGGATACGACGGTAATCACGCTGGTATAGTTTTTGAGTTGCTTAACAATCATTATACTTAGTGATTCCATAAACAAAGGCCAAGATCCTGAAGGACAATTGAGAAAGGCAATGCAGTTGCAGAAAAAGAGGCATTAAAAAAAGTGTCAAAATAATTACCACTTTCTCACAAAATTTATTTAAAAATGCAAGCCAGAGGCGCTACCTTTTTTTTTAAGAAAAGACCAATTAATTTTTTTTTATGCAATCCACAACAGCTACCTTAATACAATCAGTCAATAAAGTTTAGGTACAACGAATTTTTTACAATACGGGCAATTATTTTTTTATTATTTTATTATTAGGAATTAAGCTAGTTTGGCTTTATTTGACCAAGATTTAGCTATTATCTTGTGATGGTTAAATAGAACAAGCCTAATAATAAACTTCGTTCAATAGCCGCTTACTATTTTCTTTATATTTTAGAATTAAGCGTGTTGTTAATAGAATAAATGAGCCTAACCTTGGAAGTTATATGTATACAGTCAGTCAATAAAGTTTAGGTACAGCGAATTTTTTACAATACGGGCAACTATTTTTTAAATATTTTATTTTTCGACAATTTTTTATAAAAATATGGTTGATTCTACAACAAAAAAAAAAACAAAATCAGAGTTCCAAGCCTTGTGCAAAATTTAAGAAATTTCTGCAAAATTTCATTCAAATATTGCACTTTTTATTTGCGCTGTGTAGAAAAAAGTTGAGTATCAGTTTTTTAGCCCAGTCAATTTTAGTATAACGAAGCGCAAGTTTGAGCTAAGTAGGACTTACCATTGATTTTTAGCAATTTTTTTGTTGAAGGTGTCGCTCATTTTCTCCATATAAAATAATGTTTGATAATTTTTTTATATGGAAAAAATTTGCGACACCTTCAACAAAAAAAGTTCCCGAAAATCAATGGTAAGTCCTAGCTTCTTCATACTTGCAATTTATTATACTAAAATTGAATGGGCTAAAAAACTGCATACTGAACATTTTTCTAGAGAGCGTAAATAAAAAGTGCAATATTTTAATGAAATTTTGAAGAATTTTCTTTAATTTTGCACAAGGTTTGGAGTTTTAATTTTTAGGGTCTTTGCTGTAGAATTAACCATATTTAAAAAAAAAATTGCGAAAAATAAAATATTTAAAAAATAGTTGCCCGTATTGTAAAAAATTCGCTGTACCTAAACTTTATTGACTGACAGTATGTATTAATAAGACTTACCTTTGTGTTGGAAGTGATACAATATGATTGCTTGAGTGGGGGCCACAACCATTTCAATTGTTCGTTCACCTATTTCAATAACAATATTAACTCGTCCTGTTACTGTTCGCCAATTTAACGTTCTATTTCCTTTGTATGCTTCATAGGCTTTTGTATACTTTTCAAATTCATTGGCAATTTCTTCAGGTAGCTCCAAACTTTCTTTATTGAATGACGGCCAAAATTGTGCTGATATTATAAAAGTTGATATATCAAACATTTTATCTGTAAATGGGGCACATAAAATAGGCATTAGAAAATTGGTAGATATTTCAGACTTAAAGCACTTTAAGCAAGGAGCGAAAATAAATACTAAATATCAAGATTTTCGTTATCAGATCATTGCAAAATCGTTAATTTTTATTTATTTTTCCAATCAAGGAAAAAGTTAAATTCCGTTTTTTTTTTTTGGTGAATTTAATCGCTATTTTGTGAATCTTATTTTTTCCATCGAAAACGAAGTTGTTGTTGGAGTAGCGGCTACTAAAACCCGCTCGGGTCGGCTCATCCATCAACGTTGTCGTCAGGGTCAGCCATAATCCTGGTCGTTCATTGTGTAGAATTTCGAATCGTCTATCTGGTCAGCCAAGTGTGTACCCTTAATACGATCATTTGACAGGCTTGAGTGGCAAAGATCGTGATGGGCATTGAAGACACCGACTACCATACGGTTCTCACCTCTGAGGTACCACCATTATCTCGCTCGCGGTCTCGACGGTGCGTCTCGTCTCTTGGACCGCAGCTATTAACATTCCATGCCGACCCATGAAGTCGGTTACAGTTAAATTGTAGCACCTTTGTGTGCCTTGGGAGTAGGGTTCGAAATTTCAGACTTTGGTATCGATACTGAGTACTCATTCTGGCATCGAGCTCATGGTATGGATACTCTAAAAGTATCAGGGAAAAAGTATCGATACTACTCAGAATCGGACTCATTAAAATACGTTTTTTGGGATACTAAAAATATTTTATTCTTCAATCGTATATCTAGTTATTTCCTGAAATTAAAACAATAGAAATTTAAAATATTTGATTTTTGTTATATATATATATATATATATATAGATATATATATATATACATATATATATACTTTCACGAATTTCAAATTTTATTAAGAAATTTGTGTACACTTTTTGGGAATGCATTTTTGTAGCCTATTCATCAATTGTAGTATAATAATGTGCAAGTTTGAATTAAAAGTCAACGGTACTAGGCTACACGTAAATTTGAATAGGTTACAAAACTGCATACCCAAAAAGCTTCTAAAAGTTCTGCATTTTCGTTAAATTTGCGTTAAGTTTTATGGCCTTATTCGTAAAAAATAAAAAAGGTTTATAAACTGAAAAATGTATGAAAATGTCACTTTATTAAGCTCCTTAAACCTACTTTATTTTTTACTAGCAGACCCGGCGAACGTCGCCCGCCCAAAATTTGTTTCTTTATTCAAATATTTGGTACAAAGTGTTAACCACAATACACGTTCACATTTGGTTTTATGGTCGTAAGAAACCATATCCTCCATTGCCGTCTTAAATAACCTAACGAAAGCCCGTGAAGAAGTTCTTGCGGAAACAATGGTCTGGCTCGATGGTGAATCGTCCTTGAATCTATATAGAAAAGGTGGTGGCAATTTCAAAATGAGAGAACATCATTGGTCCACAGAAATCCAATATACATTGACTTATTGAATTGTCTTTATTTTTTTTAGTCGCCGTAAATCAAGGACCACAATGGTTATGGTGGCCGATTTAACGGTGGTAATTTGATTTTGATCCCTGGTGTCTCCGAATGACTTCACTTGACGATTTTTAGCAATAACTCGACTCCAGCGCCTCCTTGCGGCTCTATTTTTCAGTAGTATTGCCCCTACCGTTACCAATGTACATCTTGTTAATAACGCAAATGGGACCATAAATACGATTTTTAGTAATAACTCGATTCCAGAGCCACCTGGCGAGCCGTTTTTTTCGCAGAAATATTTCCCTTCACGTTATCAAAGAATATTTTGAATAACTCGACTCCAGCGCCACTTGGCGTTTTAAGTTGTGAACCTAAACTATGCAGGGAGTTTAGGACAAAAATTTCATTAAAATCATTTCGGTCGTTTAGGAGGCACTTCTCTTAATATAATTGGTATAGATATAGTAGTAGATTGGTATAGCCAATACCAGCTTGCTTTGCGGCGCCTTAAAACATTTCAAACTGTACAATAATCATTCAATTCTATTCTATATAATAGATCGGTCCCTGATCCACCTATAAGAAAAAAACTATCCTATATGTTAATCCAGGCAGTAAGCTGCCTACGCGCCAAATTTCAAAAAAAAGGAACATATTAGAAGAAAAAATGGATCCTATATGTTAATCTAGGAAAAGGCTACCTACGTACTAAATTTCAAGCAAATCGGACGATAAATACAACTTTTTAGAATAGATCGGACTCTTTTCCACTTCACGGAAAAAAGAATCATATATGCTAATCTAAGCAAAAAGCTTCCTACGTACCATATTTTAAGCAAATCGAACCATAAATACGATTTCTTCGATTGTATCGGTTCCTGTGGTGCGATTCACTACGCGATTTTAACAACTGCTGTTATTGTTAAGTCAGCTAAACGACAATTTTAACAACATAGCTATTCAGTAAACGTTTCCCTAACAACATTCGTTAGCGCCAAATCAACTGTTGTTGTTAACGATAACAAAGGCCGCTAATTTGATGACGCACAGTGGCCAATTTTTGGAAAACCCTGGCCAAAAGTCCAAAAAAAAATTGGTGCATTCGTATGCATAACCATCTTATATTGTTAGGAGGGCTCTACTGCGTATCGTTATGAGACAACAAGTCGATTTTCTTAAGGCATTTAATGTTACAGGAGATCGAAGTGACTGTTGCTAGCAATTCGCTCTAAACTTTTCGTAAATTAGAGTTTTCGTCATTGTTAAAATCGTGGTATTATCTTTAAAAAAATAACAGTTTTCAAGCATTTGCTCATGGACATTGTAATCTAGAGTATGTAAAACATGTTTTTTCATATTGTCACGCCATTTAAAAACTGACGTAAGACATAGATATTCACGGATTGATCTTTTTTGTTTACTCATGATGGATTAGGAAAATAGTTACGAGAGGTCGAGATGGGCGGTCTAATTTTCTTTTTCATATATATTGAAGTTTTTCCGATCCACCTTGGTTAAAACCACCTGTCACAAGCCGCCACTGTAGCTTGGACATCAGTTTTTATACGCGATTCTAAATTTTTTTATGTTTAAAAGATTTAAATTATGTATGTAAAAAATATTTCTGTCAAGATTTTGATGTTTTAAAGATTGGATGTTTTTAGAATTTAAATGATGTCAGAAAGTACTACTATATTAGAGTGCTCATCCATGGGCCTCTCATTATTGAATGGGCAACCCTGCCAATTGGGTAACTTTTCGAAGAAACCCAAGAGTCAAGGAATAAGGATATTAAAAAATATCGGCTGCTTGTATCCTCGGGCCCTGTCATTTCAAGATTACGTTTAAACCCACCAAAACAAATCATAAACTGTCGTCAGATGCCATTAAATTATTATCAACTGTTGTAAATGCGGATGCGGAATTGCCATCAGTAAATATAGATACGAGCTTGGATACTTCAGATGACTGTGATGACGGTGTATAAAATTGTTATCTTAAAAATATATTCCTGTACCAACAAATATGTATGTCTTGTTTATTGATTCATTCAAAATCCCGCAGTTCCCGTGTAACTTTCAACATCAAGATTTTTAGAAACAAACATTAAGACCTCGTTAGTGTTTGTCCGAGCTTCTCTTCCGATTTGCTAAAAATCTGATTATTTTAAGCGTACACAGCAGCCATTATGGATCAGCCATTTTGAATTTCGAAATTATGTGGTGAAATTTAAAACCAGAAACCAAAATAAAGACGAATACACAAGGTTTGATTACAATTGAACCAAGCTTCGACTTTTGGCCAGCTTTTTCGAAAAATTGGCCACTGTGCGACGTCTAGATTGGTATTGTTAATAAAACATAAAAGGTACGTCCTACAATTTTTTCGTATGAAAAAAATGGACAGCACAGCTAGCAAAAACAAATATCAAAAATCAAAGGATTTTTCAGCAACATCAAACTTGCACTTCATTGTACTAAGATTTAATGGGCTACAAAATCGCATAAATAATTTTTTTATAATTTTACAATAGGGCGTAAAATTAATATAGAAATCTGGAAGTTAAAACGTGATAATTATATTTTTTAATCTTACAGAAACTGAATATGCATTGAATTTAAAGGAATTGAATAATTAAAGTTTTCAATTTAATACGTGTACATCGTTTATTAAAAATATAAATATCATATAAGTATGTGCATATTTAAATATTTCTTTATTAATCATCATGACATTAGCATAATAAAATCAGTATTGAAAATAAATATGTACAAAATGTGCATACCGATTTTTTTTTTTAATATTAACAAACTTTTTCATGTTAAATGATCTTTGTATGTGTATTTTTTGTTTTTAATAATTTTGTTTTAAATAGTTCCATCTACTATATAACAACAGAAACCACATGAATATAAATTAGTTTTAAAGCTTGCATTAAATTCACAAAAATCAATCAAACTTTAAAAAATTTTCACCAAGATTTCAAACTTTTTATTCAGAATCTTTAAATGATTTTCGGGTATGATTTCAAGTTTCAAGTCGCTAAAAGTTACAGTTGATTTTTTAGAATTTTTTTTGTGGAGTGTGTTGCGCATTTTCTTCCATATAAAATGCTTGTGAACTTTGTGCTCACACGAGCGCCTTGGCATATGCAACAGATTTATGTCCATTAGCGGCAGCAGAGTTAGTGAATCGCACAATCGTTACAGCAAACAACAAAACGACAAGTCGCATTGTTAAAAGTTAGTGAATCGCACTACTGGTCCACTTCCCGGAAAAAATAATCATATATACTAATCTAGACAAAAAGCTGCCTACGTACCAAATTTTAAGCAAATCGGACCATAAATACGATTTTTTCTAATAGATCGGTCCCTGATCCACTTCCCGGAAACGAGAAAAAAGCTACCTACTTACCAAATTTTAAGCAAATCGGACCATAACACGATTTTTTCCACCTACCGGAAAAAAGTAATTGTTTTTTGGCCTATGAAATGGTGGTTGCTGAAAGCTATTTAAAACAAAATTTTATCAAAATCGGA